AAAGAAAAATAAAAGAAAATTAAAAGCAGGAAAGGGGGCACCCTCGCCGACGCGGCCGCCGCTCGGGCTGCGCCGGTCCCAGTTCGGCCACCGGGCCCGGCAGCGGTTCCGCCGCCTCCCGCCGCGCTGCCCGGGCGGCCGCACCCGCGCAACAGCGCGCGGGAAGCAGAGGAAAGGGAGGGAAAAATAAATAAGAAAAAGAGTAAAATCAGGAAACCTTAAATATATCCCAAAGCCACGCGTTAGAAAATAATTAAAAAAATAACCCGCCCAACCGAGAAACAAATGCCCTGGAAGTGTCGCCCTGAGAGGCGGTGTCAGGACCTGTGCCGGGCTCGGGGGTGTCTCGGGGCCAGGGGGGGGTTCCCGGCGGCTGCTGCTGCTGCCGGCGCCGCTTTTCAAAGCCCGGAGCCTCCAGCCCGTGTCCCCGTCTAGGAAACTTGCGCGTTTCCCTGAGCTCGGGGTCCCGCCGTATCCTTCCTACCTCAGTCCTCCCGGCGGGGTCTGTCCCTGGAGTTCATGCTTAGCTGGACGAGAGGAGATTTAAGCAAGGGAAGAGGGGGAAAGAAAGAAGGAGAGGAGCGGGAGGGAGAGAGGAGAGAGAGCGAGCGAGATCCTCCGCGGTGCTGGATCAAACTTAATGTCTTTCCCCAGTCCATCTTTGCGAGAGAAGTGGTAATACCACCTGGATGCTCGGATATAAATCCCCTTGCAAATAATAAATGGATTAATAATAACAAGGTATGAAGTTCTTTTTATAGAAAAAAGGAGAGAATTGAAACTAAATGCGGCAGTTAGACAACCATTTTGATAAGAGGATAATTGAGGCGACACTGGTGTATAATTAGAGGATAATTTATGCTATATCCACTTTTATTCCACCTCCCAAAATAAACCCAGTCCATAATCATTACAGGCAAATTGTTCTGAATTTTATAGCAGCAATTTGAACAAAGTACTGCAGTTAATCATGGGAGATTTTTGTGTATTCCTGATTAGAAGTCTAATTGCCTCCTTCCAGAAAGTAAAAATAACTGTAAAACGACTCTATTTTTATCATTAACAATGTTGACAATAAAATAAAATCAACTGGAATTGTAATCTAAAGACAAATTTAGGACGAAGGCGCGCTTTTTTTTTTTTCTCCTTTTTTTTTTTTTCCTCGGGTAGTTTATATTGTAATCAGGATTTTGCCAAACCGCTAAACCGCACGTATCATTTGCATATATTTGAAAGCATTACAGTAGCTGCTGCTTTCAGTAGGAAAAAATGCGCCGCTGTCACTTCTCCAAAAGCCTCCGCTCCTTCCCCCCCGCCTCCTCCTCCTCCTCTTCCTCCCCCCCGCAAAAAAAAAAAAAAAAATAAAAAAACCACTTCCAACCCGGGGCCACCGCCGCGCGCCCGACGGCGCGGAAAAAAAAAAAAATATGTGTTTTTTATATATATATATGAATTTTATTTGGGTAATAAATAAATAAATGTGGGGCAGATTGTGAGGGGTGCGCGGAGGATGCGCGCGTGCCCGCGGGGGCGCGCGGCGCTTCCCCCCCCCCTCGCTCCGCGTGGCGCGCGCGCGCGCCACGCGGAGCGAGGGGGGGGGGGAAAGCGCCGCGCGCCCCCCGCGGGCACGCGCGCGCGCCGCCGAGCGGGCCCGGTGACGTCAGGGGTTGAGTGACCAATGGGGAGGCGCTGCCCTTTGGAGAGGAACCATTCGACTTGTGGCGTCGCTGCCTCCAGTCGAGGCGGCGGAGCGCAACTTTCGCGGAATCCACCTTAAAAAAAMCCCTCGCTGCCTTAAGCTCCGCCAGCCCCCGAAAAAAAAACACACACAAGTTGGGGATGAAGGGGAAGAGAGGCGAAAAAAACCGCCGGGAATAGTCCTCCCACCCCGCACACCGCCCTCCCCTTCTCCCCTCCCTCAGTTAACAAGGCCCCTCTCGCACTACGGCGCCTTAAAAAAATAACCGCCACCTCCAACGGTGCCGCGCGCCGCGTAACGGGCGCGACGGCGGCCGGGCAGCGAGGCAGCGCGCGGGGGGCGAGCCGGAGAGCGCCGCTCTCTGCCTGCCAAACTTTGATGATGACCATGACCACGATGGCTGACGGGCTGGAAGCGACCGACTCCTCCAAATCCGCCTTCATGGAGTTCGGGCAGCAGCAGCAGCCGCCGCCGCCGCAGCCGCCGCCGCCGCCGCACTCGCAGCAGAGCTCGCCGGCCATGTCGGGCGCGCACTACCCGCTGCACTGCCTGCACTCGCCCGCCTCGCACCCGCACCACCAGCACCACCACCACAGCTCGCCCTACTCCGGCAGCGCCGGCTCCTACAACCACCGCTCGCTGGCCGCCTACCCCTACGTGAGCCACTCGCAGCACAGCCCGTACCTCCAGTCCTACCACAGCGGCGGCGCGGCCGGACAGACGCGGCCCGACGACGCAGGTGAGCGCGGCGCGACCCACTCGGTGCCCCGGCCGCGGGCCCGCGCTCCGCGCAGCGCCCGCCGCCTCCCGCGGGGGCCTAGCGCGCCCCCGCCGCCCGTTCGGGGGTTACCCCCCCCACCCCCGTTTTGCCCCTCTCTCCTTGCTCGTCGTTGCCCCGCGGCGGGGAGGCTGCGGCTCCGCGGAAGCCCCGCGCACCGCGTCCCTTCCCGCAGCCCTTTCCTCTCCTCGCTTCCCGCGGGGCGCGCGGCTGCTGCTCCCGMCAGGAGCTTCCAAACGCTCCCGAACCCGCTCCCGAGCCCTGCCCCTGCGGAGCCCGCCGTGCTGCGCAAACGGGGGCTCTGGGGGAGCGTTCCCCGGCAAAACGGCCGCGTTCGAGCGCCGAGGAGGGTGCGCGGCGCTCCCTGCCACGGTGGTGTCTCAACTGTGCCGTTTCGCTTGCAGATCAGCAGAAAACGACAGTGATCGAAAACGGTGAGATCCGATTCAATGGAAAAGGGAAAAAGATTCGGAAACCTCGAACCATTTATTCCAGTCTACAACTGCAGGCTTTAAACCATCGCTTTCAGCAGACTCAGTACCTGGCACTTCCAGAGAGAGCTGAACTGGCAGCTTCATTAGGACTTACCCAGACACAGGTAATTACTGGGAATCCCAATCTCTGAAATCCTGCTCGAGCAATAAAGGCCAAGCAAAGTACGATGCTCCCTGAGCCGTTTTGGCCCCGGTACAGGAGCGCTAGAAAAGGTAACGCACACGATCCCGTATCGAACGCGATACAGCTTATCTAACGCGCGCCAGAGAAAACGCTCTGCTGCCGAAAGTGCTGAACGTGCCTTTCCCCCAGCACATCCCTTTTGATGTCACCAATAATAATAATAATAAAAATAATAAATTGCCTGTATGTTCGGGTGAGTGTAATTCCAGCACCAACATGCAATAGCCCGGCTGCGAAAAGGAGACCAGAACAAAGGCGAGGAATCCCTGGGCCTCATGTAGCGCTAAAAGAAAAGCCAGGTCGTAGCAATCTATAAGCAGAGTGAAAGGAAGAACACGTTAGGAAACACCTGTAAAATCAATAGTTAATTCGCCCTGGATGACTAACGCGAATGCAGTGGTTACCCTTGGGCAAAATGTACAAAAGGTGATAATAGATCTGAAGATCAAAGAGAGCCATGTACAAAATTATAGCAGGTTAAGCCATAGTTAAGTGTGGTTGGAGTAGCTGTGCCATTCGGCTAATTTAAGCTTGAAAGACACATGAGGCTCTCCAGGCTGCCCGAGCTAGGGGTTGTGGAGAAACGCGTGGATAGATGAGATCAATTCGAGGGAAATGGAATCATRTGAATTTACGAGCTTAACAAATAATTTCAGTATTTTATCACTGTCGTTGATAACAGTAGCTCCCAGTCCAGCAATTTTTAAATATTCAGCAAACATTCATCATGGAAATGGTGCTGATGGTGAAACAAATGGGGATTTGGTATATTTATCATGCAACACGCTGCATCTCTCTGCATTCTCCTTCTCAGACGTAGGTTTAGGGACCCGATCCTGAAAATGCAGACAGAAGCAGATCCTGCTTGTGTCCTAATGTTGCATCTGCAAAGTTTGCAAGGTCAAATAAACATTTTTGGATTTTTTTWAATATTTCATTTTCTTTTTTTAAAGCTTCAGATAAGGCACGCATATATATGTCTTTATATAATAATTCTGATTTGCCAGAGRGGGCCCAATCCTTGCATCCCTTCTCCAATGGCGTCTCCCTTCCGGGGAGCATTCCTGAGTTAAGGACCGCAGGATGAGACCAGGAGCAATCTCAGTAGCCAGTTACTCTCTGAGAAAAGAGGCTTTTCATTT